AGCAAATTCCGGGGTTGGAGTTTTTCACCGGCAAGAGCAAGTTCGATGTGGACGACAAATTTAAGAAGAAGAAAATGTCGAAGTTCGCCTCCAAATATCTCATTTGGCAGGCCATCTGCTCTTGCGGACTGAGGAGTGAGCCTTTCGTGACAAAGGGCACAGTAAATGGCGAGATCTACAAATCTGAGTGCCTCGAGAAGCGCCCTTTGCCGTTCTTGCAGCAGCACGACGAAGCTCCGCTATTTTGGCCAGATTTGGCATCATGCCACTATTCTAAAAGTGTCCTGGAGTGGTATGAGGCCAATTCTGTCCATTTTGTTCCAAAGGACATGAATCCGCCAAACTGTCTGGAGCTGCGCCCGGTGGAGCAGTACTGGGCAATAATGAAGCGGGAACTTCGGAAGAGCAAGAAGACAGTCAAAGACGAGAAGGACATGTTAAGAAAATGGAAAAAACTGAGAAACTGGTACCGGATGACACTGTAAAGACTTTGATGGAGGGCATCAAGCGAAAATGCGTTCAATTTTACACTCAAGGCTCCATCGATTAACTTTTCTTTTGATTTTTGAAGTAAATATATGTATAAAACTACCCTAAAATTTTGGTTTGATTCTAAACATATAAGAAAATTGGCATGACATTTTCGGTGTCGCAATAATTTCGTGTTCGCCCTTTAGTACGCTGAACAGATGGCGGTAGTGTGTAAACGTCAAACGCAAGGGAATTGATTATGCGCGCTACAGGTGGCGGCACTACCAACTACGATACTTTTAAATTGACCGTTAAATGCTTGTTCGATGAACAACTTGCGAGTGTTATGTCTGTTTGTCTGTGCTGGAACTATTTTAAATAAGTACGATTACATTTGCAAAAATCACCTTATTAGCGCCCCTCGGTGTCACTTTGTATGGGAGCGAGGTGTCAGTGTGTCAGTTTAGTGTCAAACAGTGAAGTTATTATTTTGCTTTAAATCTTGATTTAAAAATCGAGATGAAAGTGTGTGGGTTCGAAAAAAATATCGCTCTGCTCAGAAAACGAAGCTATGTCAGATGATATATTAAAAACGATATATTTTTCAACATTAAAGAACCCAATTGTTGGTCTAAAACATATTGAATTGGTTCCGCTTTTTGATAGATCGAAATTCTATCCGCCAGACTATGAATATAGCGACTATACCTATTCCAGCAGACCTATTTTTGACAGATAAGGAAGTCATTTTGACCGAGGGGGGCGACACATCTAAATCTCAATAATAGATGCTCAACAAATCTCACACTAGCAAACCAATCATCGAACAAATCTTCTTTCATTTCTCGCATCTACTTGCATCGCGCATCATCTTTTTGCAGGAAATTTTCAGAATCATCATTTATCTTCTTTCTATCTACTCAGCGTGCGCGCAGCTAACCACAGCAAAACACAATTTTTCCTGCATCGTATATAGAGTCACCCCCCTCGATTTTGACAGACGCTTTCTAGAAAATCGGCCGATCAACAACAGAGGGATTTTCGAACATCTTAATTTATTTTCGAAGTGTCAAATCTAAGTGAAAATTTTCCAAATGGAACACAGCCTAAATACAGAGAGCTTTCGAATATTCCGCAAAGTTGTTGATCAATGAACTTCTCATCAGATAGTCAGGCTGTGTTCCATTTGGTGAATTTTCACTTAAATTTGACACTTCGAAAATAAATTATAATGTTCGAAAATCCCTCTGTTGTTGATCTTACAATTTTCGTAAAGGTGTTTGTCAGAATTGATTCCTTGTCCGTTAGAAATAAAGGCTGGCGCACAATGTATAAGTTTCCCGGTTTTTATAGACAGATAATGCATGGGCTAACTGTCAAAAAAACTTGAAAACTTACCCATGTGCGCTGGCCTTAAGGCTGTGTTCCATTTGGTTAATTTTCACTTAAATTTGACAGATGGAAAATTTTCAAATAAACCTGCTATTATACCAGACTTATTTCCGACAGACCAGGATTAAATTTTGACAGACGCTTTCTTGAAAATCGGCCGATCAACAACAGAGGGATTTTCGAACATCTTAATTTATTTTCGAAGTGTCAAATCTAAGTGAAAATTTTCCAAATGGAACACAGCCTAAATACAGAGAGCTTTCGAATATTCCGCAAAGTTGTTGATCAATGAACTTCTCATCAGATAGTCAGGCTGTGGTCCATTTGGTGAATTTTCACTTAAATTTGACACTTCGAAAATAAATTATAATGTTCGAAAATTCCTCTGATTATAGTGCAGAATTTGGGGTAAATTATACAGCCCAGTGGCAGGCGCGTAGGCAACATGTTATACCGTGACAGCGGGTCCAAAACAGCAAAATAAACGATTTGAGCCCGGGACATGCTGCCTACTGTCAAACGCTGCTGATGGTATAGGCCTTGTCACTGGCCTGAAATTATAAGTTTAGTGCAACAAAACCTTTGAATTCACCCAAAGTTCTGCACTAATACTTGTGCAATTCATAAACGTCAGAGAAGTCTGTAGCAAGAAGTCTCAAGTTTTTCCATCTGTCAAATTTAATAGCGAATTCGTTTATTATTCAGTTCCAACCTGGATCGGGTATCAAGATTGGGTCTGCTTGTTTTCTGACAAACGTCAGTTTGATCGTTTGTTTTTAAAACCCAGCTCAGGTTGAGGTTCGCACTGACAAAAAGTTCGGTTTCGCACTGGGTTGGAACTGGTTCCAACCCCGATAATAAACGAATTCGCTATAAGTGAAAATTCACCAAATGGAACACAGCCTCAGAGTGATGAAAAATTTGAAATTTTCGCTCCCTCGTGCTCAAACGATTCCAAATTGGATCCTGACAAGCCTTCCAAAATTTTAACTCATTTGGTGAGAAACTGACTTGGCACAAACCATTTGAAGTTACTATGGGAAAAGCAAATTTATTGTTCATATCTATCTAACAATGCACCATACCACCACAGACAAACCGACATAACACATTGAATATTTATCACTGTAAAACATCGTCGCTAAAACATTACCACCATCTGTTGAGTTCACTTTGGTGGGCAGTACGCTGAACAGATGGCGGTAGTGTGTAAACGTCAAACGCAACGTAATTGACTATGCGCACCACAGGTGACGGTACTACCAACTATGATACTTTGAAATTGACCGTTAAATGCTGGTTCGATGAACAAATTGCGAGTGTTATGTATGTTTGTCTGTGATACCACTCTGCTTTAAAAAATGAAAGCTGTTCCTCACAAAACAGCTGCTTTGGCTGACGTTTGGCTCAAAATCGATCAATTTTGGTTCTCCCATAGTAATTTCCATATAAACTTGAAATGGTTTGTTCCAAGTCAGTTGCTACCAAGGCTGTGAACCATTTGCCGAGTTAAATTTAACTCGTGGTTAAAAGTGACATTTCGAAAGTTATTTTCTATGTTCGAAAATCCCCGTGCTGTTGATCGATCGGTTTTCGAGCCACAGTTGTCAAAATTTAACTTCTTGTCTGTCAGAAGTAACCACGCTCGGATAGCAGGGTTAATCGATAACTTTCCATCTGTCAAATTTTAACCAAAAGTTAAAATAATCCACCAAATGGTTCAGAGCCCAAATGAGTTAAAATTTCGGAAGGCTGATTAGGACCCGATTTGAAACCGCATGAGCCCGGTGGAGCGATAATATCCAATTTTGCATCAGTCTAATAATCAATGTTATAGTGATGAACTCCACTGTATGGTGACGGTAAAATGTATGGATTTCAATGGCTTAACGATTGTGGACGATTATAATATGGGTCCTTCAAATATTCTTCAAACCTGCAAGTAAAAAAGATCTATCCGTTCAATGATTGGCTTTCGGTACCGGTATGCTGGAGCCATGTGAAATGAGTATGGCCCATGATTATGCCACGACTACAAATTCATTTCCATATCACAGTAGTTCCTAATGTTTTCGAAAAAACTGCGGAGCTCTAGGATCAGATTCATGGCTTGATCACTTTTACGGATGTTCCGAATCTTCCGGAGGACGATCTCATAGCTACCCGGGGTTATATTTGTCACGCCCACAAAAAAAAATTTAATATTGGCTCGATTACGCAAAAACTACGACACTTCAAACACGGATAATTTTTGCGCATCCGTAGTAACCATTTTGCAGGTTAAAGCGAAGTTGCTGAGAATTTCATGAAGCAACGATTTTGTCCACACAAAAGTAAAAATTATGATTTGTTCCGGCCTTATATTTGTTGAAAAATCTCTGTTTCACGCGGGTTTCGACCGACCCTTGTTGTTGTTGCTTGGTGGAAAGAGTATTAATTTGTTGTCATTTGGGCGAGTATTGAAATCGCCAATGCAACACTGTTTTTGAACGCCAGATGAACTGTGCTCTTTTGTGGTTGCATTAGCTGCATCCAAATATATTTCAAATTTGCAGCAATAAGATGAGTCGAAAGATGCAACCGAATCCAACATTCGATTGACTCGACTCGTTTTGATTATCAGAACATTTCGATACACAAAATAAAAACGAAAACCAGTTTGCCCCAAATTTTTTGACGTAAGATTATATTATATATTTTTTCAAAAACTGGTCCAACTGGTTATGCTCCATGTCTCCCCCGAAACGTTTCTGTATACTAAGCATTGTTTATCAATTTCCTATGTGATATGATCTACTGCGTTCTGAATTGCATAATGAAATAAATATAACCTGCTACCTAGCATGCAAAGTCTAGCAATCTCCCCAGCATCACTTTGTTTGTTTCCGATGTAACAATTAGCGCGGGATCTGGCCACCCAATCCACACGCACATGGAATGATGCGACTTAACGTGTGTGAATCCCATTCAAGTCGGACACCTACGGCAAAAGTCGTTCGCAAATGGCTTTGCAATGAAATTCTAGTCTATCGTGTGGTAAAGGTAATATGCGATTCGCTTGATATAATCGAAATGCGCGATCAACCGCAGCACGGTGCGGTAGTTTTTAACGGGCATTCGTCGCGTTAGGACGGACTGTAGTTGTGCTTTTGTTGTGGGCTAGCTTGTTGCGTGTGGAGATGCAATCATTTTCGAATCACCCAACCGGGTTGCTACCGGTCGAGGAGAATTACGATCCGAACAAACCCTCGATCCGGGAGTTCTACTCCGGAAGGGACATCTTCATCACCGGTGGAACGGGTTTCATGGGAAAGGTGCTGATCGAGAAGCTGCTGCGATCGTGCAGCGAACTGAATCGGATTTTCATTCTGCTAAGGGAGAAGAAGTCGAAGAAGATTGAGGATCGGCTCCGGGACATACAGCAACTTGCGGTAGGTTGTTTGGGGGGATTTTTGTTTTTCGTTGGATGGGTTGCTAACGGCATGATTGTTTAATCGACAGCTGTTCGACGTACTTCGCAAAGAAAATCCACGCGCCCTGGAAAAGATGATCCCGATTAAGGGTGACGTCACGATGCTAGGGCTGGACTTGTCCACCGAGGACAAGAACCGGATGAGCGAGGTGTCGGTGATCTTTCATGTAGCGGCCAACGTTCGGTTCGATGACATGCTGCGGGACGCGATCATTCTCAACACCCGGGGCACTCGAGAGGTGGTCAAATTTGCTCAAACCTTCAAGAACCTGTGCGTGATGATGCACGTTTCGACGACCTACTCCAACCCGGACAAGTACGTGATCGAAGAAAAGGTAAGACTATGCTGATCATGGCCCAATCAAGTCTTTGCTAAAACCCCCTTTTTTCTCGCAGATCTACCCTCCGTACGCTGATTGGAAGGAAACGATCAAGCTGGCCGAACAACTGGACGAAGAAACGCTGGAAACCTTCGCACCAAAGTACATGGGCATGCTGCCGAACACGTACGTCTTCACCAAGTCCCTCGCCGAGCACATCATCAACGACTATCAGGAGAAGCTACCGCTGATCCTGTTCCGGCCGTCGATCGTCATCTCCTCGATGAGGGATCCCATTCCTGGCTGGATGGACAATTTCAACGGACCGGTTGGGCTGCTCGTCGGATGTGGTATCGGTCTCTGCCGAACGATGTACTGCGATCCGAACAACGTTGCCGACTTCACCCCGGTGGATGTCTGCATCAAGGCGATGATCGTGGCGGCATGGAAGAAGGGGACGGCGGTGATTCAGAGGTAAGCGGCCATAATTAATGCTGGAGGAGATAATCATAGCTTTGTTGGCACACAATGATAAGTGAGATTGACTGAAATTGACGAATACGGTCAAACGGGGGGCGGGTGGTGGTCATATTTGAACTCGATCATGTGTGGAGGTCGCAAAGCGACATATATTTTTAAAACCAGAGCCAACTGCGACTGGAAGGGGTGACAGGCATTAGTCGTGTTTTCGTTAACCTTTCACACACAACCTCTATGTTCGTCGCAGTTGTCACTTGGGTGGTTAACTTTGCCCTTTGATAGTTCTTACTGTGAAGCATAGCATTGATAGACGATGGCGGTGGCGATCGATGCGGTTTTGTTATTGTCGGGGAATTTACATTTTGAACTTTGTGATGAACGAGCAGCGGATGGATATATAGGTAGCCGACTTGATAAAATATGCATTATTAAATTTAATAACTTTCAGCGGTTTGCTATCGTGACAAATCGAATTTTCTTTGAGTTCCAGTTATATTTTTTTATTGAAGGATCGATACCATGCCAGCTCACAAACATTTGTTTTTGGTGACCCAATCTATCTTATTAGCATTCTTGCTTTATTTAAATTAAAGTCGTGAACATTTCTAGATAAACATTTCAAAAGGTCCTATCTGCATTGATCGATTCTCTTCATCGACTTTCTCTTTCGTCAATAGCTCAGCTGCAAAACTTTCCCCTGTTGTATTTGACATTTTGGACGCTAGATAAGTACCTTCTTTATCAAACTATGTGGTAGAATTAGCACGAAATCTGTTTGCATAGCAGTGGTTATGAAAAGAGAAAGTCGATGAAGAGAATCGATCAAAGCAGATAGGACCATTTGAAATGTTCATCGAGATTTAGGAATGCGATCATGGTTTAAACCAAATGTAAGAGAAGGCATTCCGACATCGAACACATATATGTTTTTTTTTCGAATTTAGTAGTAATTTATACAAAACCAAGTATGTTGGCATAATGCCATTACTCTTGGAACTTCGTCATGTGGCTGTTGTTATAATTTAAATAATGTATAACACGAAGACTTCTTCCTTTAGCGGAAATGCCTGTGTCATCCGAGGGGGGCGACACATCTAAATCTCAAGTTTAGATGGTCAACAAATCTCACACTAGCGAATCAATCTTCGAACAATCTTCTTTCATTTGTCGCATCTACTTGCATCGCTCATCAATTTTTTGCAGGAAATCTTCAGAATCGTCATCAATTTTCTTTCTATCTACTCAGCGTGCGTGCAGCTAGCCACAGCAAAACACAATCTTTTTTGTATCGTAGATAGAGTCGTCCCCCTCGGTGTCATCGGCGAACAAAGATTTGTGGCAACCCTGAGGCAAATCAGGGAGGTCCGAAGTGAAATTTTATACAATATAGGCCCAAGAATGCTCTGAGGAACTCCAGATCTAACAGGCAGTTGATCGGATTTGGAATTTTGATAATTTACCTGCAGACTTCTGTCAATTCAATAATTTAGAACTAATTTCATAATATAGAGTGGGAAATTTAACATTTTCAATTTGGTGAGTCGGCGCCGGTGGTGTAGTGGTAAACGTGACCGCTTTATCACCCCAATGGGTCTGAGTTTAATCCCAGCCGAGGTCGGTGGGATTTTTCTGAGGCATAAAAATCTCTGGTCACGTATTCCTTCGGAAGGGAAGTAAAGCCCGTTGGTCCCGGCCCATGTGTGTGTTGAATGGGTGCGATATCCTATGCAGGTGCGGAAGCTGCCTTTCTGCACATTCGATTGCCGTCAATGGATGCAGAACAGAGACCGACGTTAAATAAAGGAATACAGAATTTGGCAATCAAACCTTCATGCGAAACACTGTCGAATGCTTTTTCTATGTCTAGAAGAGCACTCCAGTTGAGCCTTCAGATTTTTTGAACGAATTAATTGGTAACTCTCAGAGACGTCGCGTGCCTTATTTGTTTACCTGTGCACCCAACTTCTTTTTTTTTCTTTTTCAATGCTCCATGAATTCGAGGGACATATTCTCAATTACTATATTAATCACTGCCTAACGTAACATTTAAAGGGCCTATCATCATATGTAAACAAAACTTGTATGGTCCTTTTCGCGCTAACCGAAGGAGGAGGAATTGCAAAACTTAACTAATTCTCGTTTTTATCACAAGGCTAACTCTTTCGACTGAAGTGTAACAAAGAATATCCGTCAAACACTTCCGAAAACATTTTTGGAAACAACGAAGTGTCAAAATCTAGAGAAAATTCATGAAGTTCCCTGGGTAGCAAACTTGATTATTGAATTATTAATCAACTCTTTATTCATCAGAACAACACTATCAGAATGAACAACTGACAAGAGAGTGAGAGCGACTCTCATTACTCTCTTTGCCTGCAATCAGATATCCAAGTGCACAGCGAGAAATGCACACTTTAGGCACCCATACATCACAAATGTTCTTCTAATTTAAACTCACACATTCTGTGTCGTGCACAGGTTGCACATGTGAACGGGACGCCACTGAACTCCTAAGAGCTGATGAGTACTTGAATGCCCATGGCGAAATCCAAACTGCTCATCTGCAAAAAAAATAAAATTCCTATTTAAGTGAAGGATCATTCTACTAAAAATAATCTTTTCAAAAAATTTTATTATTGAGAAAGCAAACTTATGGGACGGTAGCTAGAAGTTTCAGCTGGATTTTAATCCGGCTTCAAAATTGGAACAACGTTTGCATGTTTCCATTTATCAGGAAAGTTTCAGGAATTTTTTGATGAGGATATAATTCCATCATCACCTGGAGCTTTTATATTATGAAACTTTGTAGTTATAGATCTTACTTCGTCCAAATCAGTCCCCCAGGAATCATCAAAAATATTTACCCGAGAGAAAATATTCAGATAGTCCCGGGCTGATTCTCAATAGGACTAGTGACACCAAGGGGTGGTCATCGAGGTGGTCACTCTACACATTTATTTTGCGCCAATATTTTTCTCAGTGTGCCTCAAGTGTGCCGCGCTATGCCGAGAGTGCCAGTCATCGGACTGACTTTGTTTGTGAACTATAAGCTGGAATTAGGGCGTAACAGCTTTTGTAAACAATGACTTCTCTCAATGATTTCTGGGACTTCAAGGCACACCCACGCAAACCAACAGAACCATCGGGTAATGGAAGTCTTCCCCTACCCGATGGTGCTGTTGATTTACGTGGGCGTGCCTTGACTTCCTAGAAATCCTCTATGGTTAAATTAGACTCCTCTATGGTTAAATTAAACACCGGATTCATGATCTTGATTAATCATAATCTTCTTGAAAATCTTTATGGTTCGGTAGTCGCTGGTCTGTCTTTGTCTATGTATTCTTCTCGTTCGTACGCCAGTTTAATGTCTGGATGTTTTCTTTGTGTGTGTCTAATGTGTTTGTGTATCTGTGTGCGTGTGTGTGTGCTGTTTTCGATAATCATGTCTCTTACCTCGATAGCTGATACAGAGTGTGTGAGTTAGTGTTGATGTTAACGTGCAAGATGATTTGTAGATACTTTGTGTAGTGTAGCTAGTAGGGTAGAACTCCATCAGGTGGATGTTGATTCTCATTTCCAACGTAGAAATCCTCAATATCACTGAACCCATTGAACTCTGATGGGACTAATGAGCTGCCTACACTATCTCTATCCGATTCGCTTTCGCTTAGTTCGTATTCCGACTCAACCATGCTGTTGAATAGCTCTTTTGTCATTTCCTTCAGTTCCGATTTGTCCATACTTGCTTCTTGCCAAACCTGCACATTAATTCCGCTTCTTTCAATATCCTGTCTTATACACGTACGCCATGTGTATGCAGGTCTGCCTCGCTTTTTAGGAAGTGCAATTGAGTGTTCCAGAGCCGTCTTCAGAGTCCCCTCGTGTTCGCTTTTTAAAACTATGTCCATAAAAGTTCAATCTGGCCACCCTGATTTTATTGTTGATGGTATAGCAATGTGTGGATTTCCTTCGAAGTCCTCGTCTGATCTATGAATGACCCCTATGGGGTTAATAATGTTCAGTTGTTCCTCTCTTATCTGTATTTGTTCGTTGTCTTGCCCCCCTTCGATGTCCTCCTTATCTATGCTAAGATCCCTCAGCGTCATGATTTTCTCGGTTTCCATGTTCCGCAGTGCATTTCAATTTCTCTTCAGAATAGTTGCAACTTCCATAGAATATGTCACGACAGGTGTTATGAGTGCGTAATATAACTTTTTGACTGTCGGCCAAATGAGTGGATGCTTTTTTAGAAAGTCATAAAGGTAGTAAAACGCTTTGTGTGTTTTCTTTATTCGTTCTGCCGTTTTTGCCCCTCTAGTCAAGCTACTGGTTATGTACGCACCTAAATAACGCATGATGGTCACCAATGGTAAGTTATATTTACCGAACTTCACAGTTGTCTCTGGAGCAATATTCTTTGTTACGAAAGGGTCTCTGATTAGAACTTTGGTTTTCGTAGTGTTAATCTCCAACCCTATTGCCAAAAGCAGAGGCTCTAGAATTAGCAGCAACCTTTCCACGTCCTCTTCGTTGTTGCATAGAAACATTAGGTCATCAGCATAACCGAGTATTCACGGCAACACTATTTCGAATCGTTGATGTAATCGAACCTCCGGCATGAATTCATTTAATTCCATTAATACATGATGAAGCATAAGAATGAACAGTTGAGGACTCAGCGGGCAGCCTTGCTTAATCCCTCGTGATTTATTCGATGACCTTGTCCTTTGTCCAAACCACTGAAGGGATGTGTTTTCATGCAAACAAGCGACGACTATTCTATTAATGAGTGCCTTCGAGACTCCTAAGTCAGTTAGTATTGCAGCAGCTTTGGACACATCAATCTTATCGAACGCTTGCTTCAGATCCAATGAAACCAATATTGTCTGACAACCCTTACGCCATCTCTCATCCAAAATTCTTCGTAGAACGAATATTTGGTCTGCAGCACTTCTTTTGGCTTGCAACGTAAGCCGATCCAGCAAAATTTTTGC